GAGAAGCAAGATCGACACCGTCATCGTCAGCGACTACATTCAGCATCCAGCAGCATCGATTTTTTTTTTCGATTACTCAATATGAACAATTGATACAAACAACAAAGTGGCTCTGAACATCTGTGTAAAGACCATCTGGACACTTTTGTTTAAATGTTGAAAAACAGATTTAAAAATAATTCTGGTATAATATATGAATTTTACTCTATAAATTGGTCAGTAATCAAAATCGAAGCCCCTGTGTAATTGTCTCAGCCCAGAACAAACGGTTATGGAAAATTATGTTGTGTGCTATTTTTTGCAGAATGTTTGAACACAGGAGAGGCGGACCAATATAAACATTGACACTTCTAGTGAGTGAGAACACTTGGCTGTACAGTCAGCCGTAACCTGTGATATAGTATAGGAATTTTTTTTATATTTTTAGATACATGAAATAAACGTTAGGTGTGTTCCTTAACATGTCAAAGTTGACATTGATGGGGGAGTGGTTAGTACACGGATGTGAACTGATAGTTCCGTAGTACGCTCCCGGATGACTGAAAGTTCAGTCTGACGATATAACTTTAATGTTTGTTTGAGCACGGTGTGGCCGGCTCTAGAGGACACATGGACTTGGCTAGTGAAGAGCCAAGAGAGTTTAATAGCTAGTCTTTGATGGTAGAGTAGGGACATGTTATTTAGCTATGTCAGTGAGGGTAGGATGTATGTTTCCTGATATTGGAGGATTGCTGTCAGTTGACAGCTGAGAAATTTATGAAATATGAACATGTTTATTATGATGTTGGACTATTATTTGTCAAATTTTATTAGTTAGGTTAGCTTTTGTTTGTGGCATGAGTTGAATTGTGGGTTTGGATACTAAACCTCGTGAATTTTAACAAATTAACAAGGTTTACTAAGTGCTTGTGCGGGGGGGTTGTAACAAACTAGGCTGTTGTAAGAATTATCCAGAGTGGTTTATCGACAAAAGAGAATGGGAAGCTGAGCCGCATGGTGACCTGACCCCCAGGGGAATTCGCGGTGGAAATAACCGACGCTTTGTTCATATCTGCGTATAATGAATCATCCTATAGTATTCAGGAATTTAGAGAAAATTAGCCTTTATTCATTTTGCATTAAAATTGTATTGTATAATAGTACTGGGTACAATATCAAGAGTATTCTAATTATTGAGTTTAAGTCACCATCAGTGACGTCACGAATCAGATCTAACTTTTGAGGCGGAGTGACCGGCGGTCATAGGTCAGCAGGGTTGACATGTCTAATATTTCTCAAAGTTTTAATAACCATTTTTGTGATCGGGAACAGCTCTGCCGTTAGATGTTTGTAATTTAATTCAGTAAAATAATTCAACCAGTCTGGATCAATTCAGTATAAACAGAGGATAATTGTTATAACTTAACCGTGCTAAAGTAACTGGGTAAGCGATGCGGAACAATACAAGGTTCTAGTCTGGGCTAGGCCAGACGAGGACAAGTCAGTGTGGTCACGGAAGCAGCTAGGAGAGGTCAAACATCTTACCTCTCCCCAAGAACAGGCCCAACACCTAGAACTGTGGTCGCCCAAGGTATAGTTGCTATTGTTAAGTATAGAAATAGTCTCATTTGCCACTCAGGTCAAGTAGGGAGTGTTAAATTGATAGGGAGTGAACATATTTAGATTTTGTTTTAGTTTTCTTTTAATAAATTAAATTTGTTATTAATTTGCATTTTATTGTTTCCATGTGTTTTATGTGTATACTTGTCCTGGTCACGTGGTCCACACGAGGCAGAGTTGCATTGGGCGCCGATTCTAACATCGAATCGGAATTATCATTACCGTGTAATTTATTCCACACTCAAGGTCATCGTTTATAGTGGGGATCAAGCCCCTAGGTTGATTAATTAGCGTGATCGATCCAGACCTCGATCATTGCTCTTGTATTACTGGTCTGGTGGTGGCAGCAGAGGTGACTCTAGGGTTTTGTTCAGAGCTTAGGTCACGTCATACTGGGTGTAGAATCCTAAGTCGGTCAATCGTCTTAGGACCACGTGGCGTGGAGTTGGCTTTGGTAAAAGTTTTGGAGTCCCTTGGTTTAGAAATAAAAGTAAGAATACGGGTAGAGGGAGTAGAAAGAAGGAAGTAAAGAGAGAGGAACCCAAACCCGTGTTACAGGACTAGTGCAGGACAAACATATAAATTATGACACGAGCTCTCCTTAGGAGAGCAAGAGAAAATATCATGTGATATGCATCTTGTTGCAATTCCTCATTTTTGCAATTGAAAAAGATTCGACCAGAATCCACACTTGGCGCTCAGGTCCGAGTAAACACCCATTAGTGTACTCAACGCTGCGCACAGCTGATCAATGACAGGTAACAGCTGATCAATGACAGGTAACAGCTGATCAATGACAGGTAACAGCTGATCAATGACAGGTAAAAAAAATATTGGCACGAAACGGCTCACGCGCTGCGCCTGACAGCTCAATTTCTTGTGCAAGTCCGTCATGAAACCTTATTATCGCACTGCACTTACGCTGCCCAACCAGTTTGGCTAGACGGTAGAGCGACGGTCTCCCTTCATGCAGGTCGGCGTTCAATCCCCAACCGTCTAAGTGGTTGGGCACTATACCTTTCCTCCCTGTCTCATCCCAAATCCTGATTGATTGATTGATAAAGATTAAGCCACCCAAGAGGTGGCACGGGCATGAATAGCCCGTAACGACTCATCCTGACCCCTTCCAAATGCTATATAGTCGTACCTGGCGTGGTGATTTCTGGGTGGCTTAATCTTCATCAATCAATCGGTGATTTCTACCATTTGGTCCGGGAGACATCTCCCGTCACCCAGGGTGCAGTCGCACCTCCACAGATCTCCAGTATCAGCTCTTGATACTGGTAATGGCTCAAAAGGGCCACACCACTTACGGGCTATTCATGCCCGTGCCACCTCTTGGGTGGCTAAATCTTTATCAATCACTCATCGGCGATTTCTTTTGATAATTCCCTTCCCTTACGATGCTTGCTTGCCTGAGCCTTGTGGTGTAAGCTGGTGTTCCAGTCTTGTAAGAAAAGAACAGTTCACAGGAGAACAGCAATACAATAACAATTAGAGCGTATTAGTGGCTATGCCCAGACAAACAGAATACCAGAGTCTGCCCTGAACCCCAAGCCTAAGGCGCGAATTTAGTCGAGTTCTGTAATATACGCTAATGAATTGTCATTTAGGAAGTACACACACTGTGTACGAGCTATACCGTAATGAGTGACTAGGAATGAACTAGGTGCCTCTCATGTTCTCTCTGTGTGGGGGTCAGAGTGATAACTGACACTGTCATGTAGTGGTGAGATCTATACATTTATTTATTTATTTATTTATATACAAGAAGGTACATTGGGTTTGTGAGAATACATAGCATAGTACAGTATTTACACTCTTGTAAAGCCACTAGTACGCGCAGCGTTTCGGGCAAAAGTGATTGCCCTACGCAGACACACACAGCTGACAGCGGGCCGGTGAAGAGAATATATTCGCGTGGATCTGATGGAGGAGAGTAAGGACAGGCAGATGGATAGACAGCCTGGGTGCGCGTGAGGACGCAGGGCTCGAGTATAAACAGTCCCAGGGATGTACAGGCTTCATGGCCGCAGCAGCAGCTTGCGTAGAATAAACATTTCGTTTATATGACAGCTCTCTAGCAGCACTGTTCACTGCAGCTGCTGGCCTTACGAACCAACGGCATAAGCATCCCGTTTTCTTGATTTGAGACTCCGTAAAAAATCCAACCTAACCAAAAATGTACGAACCTAAGCAACCCGACTAACCTACGGAGTCATACGTAGGGAAAATGTAGTTGTCCAGGCCGTCCCTGATAAATACTACGTCGTATTTTGACGTATAAATTCCCTGAGGCCAAAAACTGATGTACAATCTAAGTCAAGTGTCTTTCATGAGTAGGTTTTCATGGTTTCATTTCATGGGATTTTTGGGGGGATGTTTAAGACTTTTTTGTTGGACTTTTGGGACTTTTTTGTTGGGCTTTTGGGACTTTTTTGTGTGGCGTTTTGTAATCTTTTGTTCGGCGTTTTTGGAATTTGCAATTTTGTAGTGGTGGCAACAGTGAAGCTTTTCTGTTTTGCATCATGTGGGCGAAGGTTCGAGCCCCAGCACCGGCAGCTGGAATTGCCAAGTATTTAAAATGCAGTCCGTGTACTATTCAGGTTAATCACACACACAATTATATTATACATATATATATATATATATATATATATATATATATATATATATTACTCTGATGCCCAGCGAGCTGTACCCCGGGGAGCACTTACCCTGATGCCCAGCGAGCTGTACCCCGGGCAGCACTTACCCTGATGCCCAGCGAGCTGTACCCCGGGGAGCACTTACCCTGATGCCCAGCGAGCTGTACCCCGGGCAGCACTTACCCTGATGCCCAGCGAGCTGTACCCCGGGGAGCACTTACCCTGATGCCCAGCGAGCTGTACCCCGGGGAACACTTACCCTGATGCCCAGCGAGCTGTACCCCGGGGAGCACTTACCCTGATGCCCAGCGAGCTGTACCCCGGGGAGCACTTACCCTGATGCCCAGCGAGGTGTACCCCGGGGAGCACTTACCCTGATGCCCAGCGAGCTGTACCCCGGGCAGCACTTACCCTGATGCCCAGCGAGCTGTACCCCGGGGAGCACTTACCCTGATGCCCAGCGAGCTGTACCCCGGGGAGCACTTACCCTGATGCACAGCGAGCTGTACCCCGGGGAGCACTTACCCTGATGCCCAGCGAGGTGTACCCCGGGGAGCACTTACCCTGATGCCCAGCGAGGTGTACCCCGGGCAACACTTACCCTGATGCCCAGCGAGCTGTACCCCGGGGAGCACTTACCCTGATGCCCTGGGAGCTGTACCCCGGGCAGCACTTACCCTGATGCCCAGCGAGCTGCACCCCGGGGAGCACTTACCCTGATGCCCTGGGAGCTGTACCCCGGGCAGCACTTACCCTGATGCCCAGCGAGCTGTACCCAGGGATATTTGTGTTTCTTGTAAGTCTGAATGAAGGGAGTCCACTGGACAATATTCCGAACCTTCCGCCAATTGGACGGCTGAAAAAAAAGAAATATTACAATTAGCCTTAAGTCTTAAACCCACAAGTCTTAACATTAAACAATGGATTTATGGGTTTATCCAACGTCAGGGGACAGGAAGCCTGTTCGAATCCACCAGAGCCTTAAGTCTTAAACCCACAAGTCTTAACATTAAACAATGGATTTATGGGTTTATCCAACGTCAGGGGACAGGAAGCCTGTTCGAATCCACCAGATCCGAACAGATCCCACCCTCTCCTCCTTTACCTAGGCCGACCACTGACTTTTCCCCCCAAGATACAACCCCACAATAGCTGCCTAATTCCCGCCACGTGAACAGAGGAATAAGGTGAACAGGTTAATCAGGTGAAAAGTAAATGTGGCCAAAAAATGCCAAGGCCTCGAACCCGGGACCATCTCGGTTGTGAGCCGACTGGAGTCCCACGTTTTATTTAACATGGAATTAAGCATTTAACATTTGTTAACACGGAATTAAAAGTAATAATTCAAAAACTACTGATTTGAACTCTATTTGTACAATGTTAGAAAAGTGTGTTTGGCATTGATGCTGGCCCTAAGGCCTATGAACCTCTGGAGGGTTATTAAGGCCTGTGAACCTCTGCAGGGTTATTAAGGCCTATCAATCTCTGGAGGGTTATTAAGGCCTATCAACCTCTGGAGGGTTATTAAGGCCTATGAACCTCTGGAGGGTTATTAAGGCCTATCAACCTCTGGAGGGTTATTAAGGCCTATCAACCTCTGGAGGGTTATTAAGGCCTATCAACCTCTGGAGGGTTATTAAGGCCTATCAACCTCTGGAGGGTTATTAAGGCCTATCAACCTCTGGAGGGTTATTAAGGCCTATCAACCTCTGGAGGGTTATTAAGGCCTATGAACCTCTGCAGGGTTATTAAGGCCTATGAACCTCTGGAGGGTTATTAAGGCCTATCAATCTCTGGAGGGTTATTAAGGCCTATCAACTTCTGGAGGATTATTAAGGCCTATCAATATCTGGAGGGTTATTAAGGCCTATCAACCTCTGGAGGGTTATTAAGGCCTATCAATCTCTGGAGGGTTATTAAGGCCCATCAACCTCTGGAGGGTTATTAAGGCCTATGAACCTCTGGAGGGTTATTAAGGCCTAGCAACCTCTAGAGGGTTATTAAGGCCTAGCAACCTCTGGAGGGTTATTAAGGCCTATCAACCTCTGGAGGGTTATTAAGGCCTATGAACCTCTGGAGGGTTATTAAGGCCTATCAACCTCTGGAGGGTTATTAAGGCCTATGAACCTCTGGAGGGTTATTAAGGCCTATCAACCTCTGGAGGGTTATTAAGGCCTATCAACCTCTGGAGGGTTATTAAGGCCTATCAACCTCTGGAGGGTTATTAAGGCCTAGCAACCTCTGGAGGGTTATTAAGGCCTATCAACCTCTGGAGGGTTATTAAGGCCTATGAACCTCTGGAGGGTTATTAAGGCCTATCAACCTCTGGAGGGTTATTAAGGCCTATCAATCTCTGGAGGGTTATTAAGGCCTATCAACCTCTGGAGGGTTATTAAGGCCTATCAACCTCTGGAGGGTTATTAAGGCCTATCAACTTCTGGAGGGTTATTAAGGCCTATCAACCTCTGGAGGGTTATTAAGGCCTATCAACCTCTGGAGGGTTATTAAGGCCTATCAACTTCTTGAGGATTATTAAGGCCTATCAACCTCTGGAGGGTTATTAAGGCCTATCAACCTCTGGAGGGTTATTAAGGCCTATCAACCTCTGGAGGGTTATTAAGGCCTATCAACCTCTGGAGGGTTATTAAGGCCTATGAACCTCTGGAGGGTTATTAAGGCCTATCAACCTCTGGAGGGTTATTAAGGCCTATCAACTTCTGGAGGATTATTAAGGCCTATCAACCTCTGGAGGGTTATTAAGGCCTATGAACCTCTGGAGGGTTATTAAGGCCTATCAACCTCTGGAGGGTTATTAAGGCCTATCAACTTCTGGAGGATTATTAAGGCCTATCAACCTCTGGAGGGTTATTAAGGCCTATGAACCTCTGGAGGGTTATTAAGGCCTATCAATCTCTGGAGGGTTATTAAGGCCTATCAACCTCTGGAGGGTTATTAAGGCCTATCAACCTCTGGAGGGTTATTAAGGCCTATGAACCTCTGGAGGGTTATTAAGGCCTATGAACCTCTGGAGGGTTATTAAGGCCTATCAACCTCTGGAGGGTTATTAAGGCCTAGCAACCTCTGGAGGGTTATTAAGGCCTATCAACCTCTGGAGGGTTATTAAGGCCTATCAACCTCTGGAGGGTTATTAAGGCCTATGAACCTCTGGAGGGTTATTAAGGCCTGTGAACCTCTGGAGGGTTATTAAGGCCTAGCAACCTCTGGAGGGTTATTAAGGCCTATGAACCTCTGGAGGGTTATTAAGGCCTGTGAACCTCTGGAGGGTTATTAAGGCCTATGAACCTCTGGAGGGTTATTAAGGCCTATCAACTTCTGGAGGATTATTAAGGCCTATCAACCTCTGGAGGGTTATTAAGGCCTATAACCTCCAGAGAGGTACCAAGGCCGCCACTAAGGCCTACTGGCCGGCATGTACACCTTAGGCCTACCACTCGCGTTTTTTACCTAAACCTTTACCACAACATAATAGAAGGGAGGCATATATAGGCCTATACGTCTGAAGCCTAACACTGTCTCGCCTCAGCTTCCTGTAAAGCCTATAACAGCCGCTAGGCCGCCCCGAACCCAAGTTAATTATTGTTATAAACAGCCTCGTATAGTGCTTCAGAGCTCATCAACTCCAATATGCAAACTAGTCCGCCATGATTGAGGAAAGATGTACAGGTTTCGTAAGGTGAGAGTGTATCCTGGCCCCCAGAGGTCATCCAGCAGCTTTAAAGTAGTGAGGTGGTGCACTCTAACCCCCACCCCCCCTTCCCCTATTTTGGTGCGGCTAATTACCCTTCCTGTCCAAATCACCGTTAACTATGCACGCCTACTAATTACCGCCACATTCACCTACCATTAACGAGCCATTTACCCACTTGGACTGGACGGTGGACGGTAGAGCGGTGGTTTCCCTTCATATAGGTCGGCGTTCAATCCCCCGATGCGTTCACGAGTAGTTGGGCACCATTCCTTCCCTCCGTCCCATCCCAAATCCTTATCCTGATCCCTTCCAGGTGCTTTATAGCCGTAATGGCTTGGCGCATTCTCCTGATATTTCCATTCCATCCCCCCTCCCCCCATCTTTCACACTCCACTACCATGTTATGGGAGTATAACACTTGTGACACATGCCTGTTATCTTGAGGTTATCTTAAGATGATTTCGGGGCTTTAGTGTCCCCGCGGCCCGGTCCTCGACCAGGCCTCCACCCCCAGGAAGCAGCCCGTGACAGCTGACTAACACCCAGGTACCTATTTTACTGCTAGGTAACAGGGGCATAGGGTGAAAGAAACTCTGCCCATTGTTTCTCGCCGGCGCCTGGGATCGAACCCAGGACCACATCTAGGTTATCTAGATTCAGTGTCAGCCTACTCCCCCCTCCCCCCTGGCTGACTACCTGTCAGTCACTGCTGACTTGTCGCTCTACACCCTATTCCCCCTTCCCTCCCCCCCCCCCTTCCTGTCACTTGACTGTCTATCATCTTGATGTCTCAAGATGACATCAATCAAACCCATTAAAGAAGAGATTAAGCTGATGATGCGACACTTAAGAAAGCTCTGAGTCCTCTCTTATCTCTTTACTTAAAATAATATTAACATAGTGGACATTACAAAACATAAACCCATTACCAAACAATAAAAACATGAGAGAAAATATTGAGGATACACAGGATCGAAACCCTAGACTTTCATCCCCACAGACTTAGGTTCGAACCCACTGCACGACCCCTCACTAGTCTCATATCAAAATCGCGTTACTGGGAGTGCATGAGAACGGTTTTCTAAATGAGTCAAACTTTAGGCCTACCGGATAAAACCATTACAAAATAGAATGAATATCTTCAGTTTTTTGTTTTTCAAGATCCCAACGATGCAAACTCCAGTTATCCTGGTTCGGTTAGCCTAGTTCAGTTATCCTAGATCGGTTATCCAGATTCAATTATCCTGGTTCAGTTTTCTAGGTTCATTTATCCTAGTTTAGCAATCCAGGTTCAGTTTTCCTAGTTCACTTAGTCTAGTTCATATACTAGTTCAGTTAGCCTAGTCCAGCTATCCTAGTTGTTATCTTGGTTCAATTATCCAGGCTCAGTTATTAAACTTCAGTTATCCCATTCCATTTATCTAATTCTAGCTGACGTTAAGCCTACCACATACTCATCAACGAGTGGTTGACATACATCAATGAGTAATTAATAACTGATGAATAGTCATATTTACTGTCAGTTTTAACCAATTCACAGGCCACCAGCAGCTCCAGGATTCATCAAGCCTTCACCCAACCAGCTACGAAACATCTACATCTTTAAACAATCATAGCGGCGGCGGTGTGTGTGTGTGAGTGAGTGAGTGAGTTAGTGGTCCCAACCACCGCCAATCACTTAGGATTAAGAACTGCCAGAGCGAGCTGTTTCATCCAGGTACAATCCAGGTACTGAACAAAACCCTATACCTTGTTTGGTCTCGAACGAGAGCCCGTACTACATATATCGTCGTAGCTCCAATATGTATTACTACATATTTATGAATATATATATTTAGAAGGAGGTACAATGGTAAATTTATGAGATAACATAATGTTAGTATTTTTACAATGTTGCACAGCCACTAAGAGGCCAACCCGTTCTCGCAAATTCGTAAAGTCATTTTTTTTTATTAACACATTAAGGTACATCTGCATTTGTGCAGCTACCCTAGACTATATGAAGGGGAGTACAGTGTGTCAAAAAGCTAGCTACGTGATGCTAAAAAAATCCCCATCACACAGGATGGTTAGTCATACAGAGGCATGTGATAAGTAGTCTGCACTGGCAGACTCTGGGTGCATTATGAGGATATCATCATGAACAC